TAATACATTCTAGATATAGTTCGGGGCAATTCAAAATTCAATTTTTTTGGTTATAAGGTTGTATTTTTATATATGAATTGTACTTTAATTTTATTTTTTAAATTTATCAATTTTGAATTGGATATAAAATTTAGCATTCAAAAATTCATATTTTTATGTTCTATATCCAATCCTATCCATATTAATACTAATAAGTTCAATTTTTAAAGGTCAAATAAATTAGTATCCTACCGTTCTCTTCATTATAATATTAAGTCCAATATAGTATTACACCGCATGAGCGGCAGGGTAGCCTCAACTGTCGTTAACCTTAGAAAATTATACAGGAGAAATGGTTTTCTAGCTTTTTACAAATTTTTTTAGTTTTATGGCCTTTTTATGAGAGATATTCATTTATGGCATCAAGTTATACATTATGAGGAACAAACTATTAGGTGTATTAGGTGAACTGAGAAGGTTAATTATTATGGCATATGCCTTAAAGACTCAAGTAAAAAACGAAAATTCAAAATATCTAAACCATTAATCCCAAAATCAAACTTAAGAAATCCAATCCAACTTATTTTGGATTGTAAATTATTTTCATTCAAAAACTAAATATATAATAATATACCTCTTATAAGTGGGGTCTAGAGAAGTAGCGTAAGAGAGGCCTAAACTCTCGATCTCAGGATGACTCAGAAGCTATGAGACCTACATGCTAGCCAACTGCGCCACCACCTCTCTTATCCAAAAACTAAATATTCAAATCAAAATTCTTTTATCCAATCCAATCGAATGATCCGAACACCCTAAACTATTCTATATTACATGAACAGAATAATATGATTCATTTTATATCAAAAGCCGAACAATATACATAATAAAATTATTCTTTAAAGTATTTTCTGCATCGACATCTCACCAAACTTGTCACCTACTTCTACTAATAGAAACAAACATATAAATGCAAATAAATATTCAATAGTACCCAATGGAGAATATCATTAGAAATTAAAGATCTTTTCTAAATTGCAAATATTGAATTAATAGTATCTAATGCAGTCAAATTTTATTATAGTGGTAATTTATTTACAAATTTTATGGCTATTATAATAAAGTGCTGATAAAATTAATCTAAATATCATGTCACGTAATATTCATCCCGTCCAAATATCAGGCCATGTGCCTTTTTAATTGTCAGGGTGGAAAATCGTTAAAAATAGGGATATTTTTAGTAAACTTTGTTAATAATAAGGGCATATTTGACTCTATAGTATAACGACGGACAAAGTTAGCTAATAGATGAAAGTCGGGGGATATTTTTTACCCTTTTCTCATATATGTATATTGATATTTGACGTTTACATCTCATTTAGTTGTTATAAATAAAAATATGCAAAAATCTAGTTTAATGATTTTGTGCATCAAGAAGAAGAAATATATTTGTTAACCAATTTAACCAAAAAAATATAAAGAGTATATGAGTGTATAAAAAATCAAGAAGAAGAAATATATTTGTTAACCACTTAACCAAAAATATAAAGAGTATATGAGTGTATAAAAAAAAAAAAAAGAAACACCGCACTTCTGTCACGAAATTACTAACAATCGGTGGGCACTATCTTAATAATTTTTTTGTCTTTAGATACTGCATTTGAAATTTACTATGTGCATGACCTTAATGATTGTCATAAATATTTTAATACTTATTTTTATAAATAATATATTTCTTACAAGATATTATTCCACAATATTTAAGTATGACTATTATAAAGAGGTACTTATAAATAGTATATCGATATATTAAACATCGCTACATATATGTAAAAATGTTGTTATAAAAAATAAAATATAACATGAAAAATTAGTTTTTGGAGAAAATTAAATTATTATAATGGAATGTTATTATAACGTAAAGACCGTTATAACAAAATTTGACTCGTATATTTTTTTTAAATGAAATCTTTTCAACATAAATTAAGTATTCTAGCTCTTTTTTTTTTAAAGAACTAAAAAAATAATTTGGCAATGTATCTTAAAACTAGTTTCTGGACACGTGTATATTCATATTAAATAATTGAATATAGAATTAAGATAAGTGTAAATTCAAAATTATTGAACCGGGCGTTTTGGTTATCTTAGTTTATGGTGATGATTAAGTATAAAGCGTGACAAGATCACCTAAATAAATAAAATATTTTTTTTCAACATTTATGCGGAAAAGTGCAAGAATTACATAAAAATGTGTTACCATAATGGGGCATAAATATAAGTCACGCGCCAAGAGTAAATTCTATCTGTGTCTCAGGATGCTTCTATCAAGTTTATGGACATTCCATACAAACCCAAAATGCCAACAACAACCAAACAAGAAGGTAAATAAGAAAATATATGAAAAACTATCAAAAGAAGAAGAAAATGCAACAACTTCAAATTACCTATTAAAAAAGTGGGTAAAGTATGATCATGATACAAAGACATATTTTTCATATTGAAGTTGCTTAATGGTTTAAATCTTCATTAGATGACGCGTGATAAATACTATTTAGAACTCTAAGAAACTTAGAAAATGAAATAATTGGAAAGGTGACAAAGTAGTATATGAAATAATAATTAAAAATATATAAAAGTGTAACTTACAATAATTATCGGGCCCGTCACTGCGACCCCCTTGTGAGGAGGCACCCATTCTCCGGGTTACGAGGCTATTTTGCCGAGTTCCTTATGAGAGAGTTGTCTCGCGCCTCAGTATTCTCTACCGAGCTAAAGTTCTAGCACAAGAAAGTCTAAGTATATACTTTATTCGATATAAAGTCTTTTTTTTGGAAGATCAATATAATAATGAAAAAGATTTTTGCATATACGCCCAAATCTGTCAATAATATCAACTGGAGCAACCCACAAAACCGATTTACTAATGGGATGCTCTAATACGGTACAAAAGTTTGCTTTAGCTAATGATCCAATCATTGTGAATTATTGGAACAAGGGTATCGAACTTCGTAATTGCATGATTACTAGAAATGAATTTTTGAACATTTGACTACGTAATTATCAATGATTTAGTAGCACACTTGAAAGATAGAGTGTTCAATTGGAACATGAAAATGTGACTAAATTGGTCCTAGCTACGGCAGTGGAAGAAGGGGGATTCTCGAACGCGGAACAGGATCCAAATTACCCGAAAGAATTGAACGAGGAGTCGTATGAGGTGAAATCTCATGTACGATTCGTAGAGTGACACAAGGGTAACTTATCTCACAATCCTTCACTCATCACCCCAAAAACCAAACTCGCCTACGTAAAGTTGCCGCAGTACGATTAACCTCCCCGAATTCTGAAATCACCGCTTATATACTCGGTATTGGCCATAATTCACAAGAACATTCGTAGTCTTAGTAAGAGGGGGAAGGGTTAAGGACTACTCGATGCCCGCCGCTACTCCGGGGCCGTAGTATGTTCCAAGGGCTGGGTTGTTCCGCCCATGTGCTGTGACGCGAGCCGTGGGTTCGTAACATCGTGGAGACAAGATTTGTCATCCGTGTGGGCATTAGAGCATTGAGACCTTCCCTAGTACGAGAGGACCGGAAGGACGCACTCGGTGTACCAGCTTATCGTGCCTACTCAGAACGCTGCAGCTGGGCAAGTGAGCTATAACTGTTGAAAGTTTACCCAAGTAGTAAGCCCACCCCAAGATGAGTGCCTCCTCATTCCGACTTCCCCAGAGCTTCCTAAGAGCACGTAATGTAGACAACCACGGTTTCCATTTCTCATGTGGACTCCGTAAAATGATCCTCCTCACTTATTTGGTTCAATAATATATATATATATATATATATATATATATATATATATATATATATATAATTTATTAAATTAACTAATTAACATTTAATTAACACATTTAATTAATATTTTATTATATTTTAATTTACTATAGAGGCAAAATGATAATCCAATTTTTAAGATAACTAGCTTTCCCACCTTTAGTAAATATGTGATTATTATTATTTATTTATTTATTATTATTATTATTATTTATTATTAATTATTTCTATTTATTATTATTTATTTATATTTATATTTATTATTATTCTTATTTATTATTTATATTTATTTATTATCATTAATATTACTTTTATATTTATTTACTATCATTATTGTTTTTATATTTTTTATCATTATTATTTATTTTAATTTTTCACTTTTTTGGCTTTTCATTTATATAGTAATAAAATATATAAATAATAGTGATATATGATATGATAAAATATTAATATTTAATTATATATTAATTAAATTTTAATTTAGTGGTGGGGCAAAATAATAATCTAATTTAACTTGACTTCTATCACGCCCCGCCTGGGGGTATGACTGGGCACTGGTGCTCCTGTAAGGACCTCGACTACTAATCAGGCCAAGGCACATTCGGTGCTCGGCTAGCTCGCTCTGCCAGATCCCTGGAAACAAAGGGGCTATATAACGGCCGCAAACACAAACCCTCCGCCATCTCGGGGCCTATAGCCACTCAGGCTTCATAATAACAAACTAACTGGGAACATACTATAAATGAACCTATGCGCTTCTATTAAGGCCACCATGCCGTCTAGTCATTCGAAACTAAACAAAGAAGAATCGGAGCTACGTGACCGGCAAGGTCACCACTAATATCAAACTAAGGCTCTCACACGGCCAACATAAGAACAAATACTAAACAGCTATAGCACCGCACGAATTTACACGACTCACCAACTCAATACTGTGGAGATAATATACACCCGCAAGCTCATGAGTAACACAAATGACGGGATGTGGCCCCGCCTACCCATACCGTACATCAAAATGGAAAATAAACTATACCTTCAATATCAGCTCCTCGGGATGATGTGAGCCGATGACTAATAGGCCGATCGAATCACGAGGGACGCTCCGTCTATGAGTACCGTTGTGCAGTAATGCAAGCCGCCCACTGGGCGTCGTATCACTGGGTACTCGAGTATGCAAAGTAACCGAAACAACCGAATACAACTAAATATAAATAACATAACTAGAAATGTTGAATAGCAAGACATAACTGACTTGAGGAAGTCGGTATAAACCGAATCATGCCAGACCGACAAGGCGCAGGCGTACCGTGAAACGCGACGAATTCCGCCGTCTAATAGCTAGTATATAACACATAAATAGATATACAAGAAGCAGCGTTATTACAATACCAACCCCCATAAGCCGGATGACACCAAGCAAGCAAACAATCTACAGACCCCTACCCGGTCAAAACCAAACGTGTAAAAGGTCACTCTACTCATCTCAAGCCACTCTGAGTTTCTACCGGCTCCCCGGGTTCTACGGCCATAGCCTCTCCGATATAAATAACCGTGTCTCTGGGTCCGGAGGACTCCGTGTAGACAGTAATGATAGGGTCCGGCTCCTGACACAACTCAACAGGTTATCTAAAACCAAGCTACACTCCGTAATAATCGTATGTACACAGCAATGTATAGGGTCTGCTCCCCGACACAAACTCGCGGTGGCTATCTCGAAAACCGGAAGCCGCACCTGTAATGCCGATCAAACCGCTATGGAAAGCTTCATCCCATCTTCGTCCAAGCCGGGACCCGCATGCCACTCTGGAGGACGTAAACCTACCCGGCGACACGACACAACCTGGGGGCGGCGAGGACGCTCAATAAGGGGCCCTCACGCCACAACAAGTCTCAACAAGCAAATAGCCATATAAA